TATATATATATTTTTTTTTTTCCTGTATCTTTCTTTCACCTTTAACAAAAAACCATTACAGATCTTTGTCGGCTTGAGACAAAACTCTCCGAAGCTCAAACCAAATGGCTCGCAAGACCACAGGCTTTCTCACGACGCCATTGATTCCGACCTGCATGCACTTCTCCCACATATCTTCGTCGGAATTAGCCGTCACCGCCACGATCAACGGCCACGATCTGCTCCTGAACTTCCTGATCCTCGTGGCCACATCGTAGCCGTCCATCTCCCTCATCTGCAGATCAAGAACCACCACCTGGAACTCCGAGTTCGCCACCCCGATCGCCGTCAGGCACTCGAACCCCGACCCCACCGCCGTCACGACGCATCCCAGTTTCTCCAGCAGCTTCCGAGTCACCGCCCGGTTCGAATCGTCCGTGTCGGCTAGCAAGACTTGTACCCCACGGAACTGCGAGTTCGAAAGCGCCGTCACCTCAGCCGTTTCCGTTACGACCGTCGAGATCGAGGGTCGGGTGCGGAACCGGAGGAGAAGCGACATGCTGCTGCCCTCGTGGCTCGGAACCACCGATATATTCCCTTGCATCATCTGTGAAATGATTTCCATAACCAGTTTAACTGGTTTACCCCTAGGGCAAGTAACTGTAATCTGACAGAAAATGTAACAAGGAAAGCTTACCTGAACCAGTTTCTGACAGATACAGAAGCTTAGATCCTGTCCGAAGATATCACTGGAGAACCTCGAGTCCTCGAGCTCATGTGTTGATGATGAAACTGAGAGATCTGATAGAGAATTCGGAATATTCTCTATTCTCATATCGAATCTTATGTGCACATCTTCGTCTGATGAAGACGGCTGTTTCCAAGCAGCCCATCTATGATCACTTCCTCGTTCGGACAAAACCCTAAAAATCAAGGATGAAGCTGCTCCTGCTCGGTATCTTCGACATTTAAGGAGGCTACCGACCATGTGGAAGATCACCTGAAATACCCTTCTTTCGTCACCGATGATGTTATCCGGGAGAGATTTCTCGGCCTCGATCACGAACCCTAATCCGTTGTAAAGACATAAACATTTAGCCAAGCAAGCTGCTTCTCTTGTCATACGATGCAGACTGAACGGTTTCATCTCGGTCTTGAATCTCCCACTCTGCGCTTTCCTCGAGAGATCCATCACGTCATTCACCAAGTTTGACAAGACATTCCCCGTTTTCATAGCCGTGTCAACGATCATCTTCTGCTCTTCGCTCAAGTTCTCGGCTTGCAGCATCGACAATAACCCGAGAACCGAGTGCATTGGCCGTCTCATCCCGTCGCTCATCACTTTCTGGAAGGCATTCCTCGCGTGGTTTGCCCTCATCGCGTTCTGCCTCGCCAGCTGCAACGCCCGGTTCTGCTCAGCGAGCTTCTCCCTCATCAGCTGTGATTCCTCGAGAATCGCTGCGTGAGAGAGAGCAACCGCCACCTGATCAGCCACAACCTTAACGATCTCGAGCTCCTGATTCGTCCAATCCCGAGGTTGCCCGCTCGGCAACACACACACAAGTATCGCATAACATGTCTGAATCAACTCGGGGGTTCCGCCCTTGAAATTGGACACTCGAAGCATCGGCATTCTTATTGCAGCCAAGGGACCGATCTCGCCACTCTCTCCGCTGCTCGCTCTAGCGAGCAACGAATCCGAACTCAGTATATTCACCTCCTCGCTTTCTTTGATACTCCTCACGTCCGGATCGTTTATAGAAACCGAACAGCCATACCCATCTGAATAACTACCCCTCCCTTTCAGCTCGTGAGTCAGATTCATCTCGGTTTTCACATCGTTCGGCATCCAGACCGCGCAATTCTGCAGCCCCAACGTCTTCGAGAGCTCGACCAGAGTCGTGTAGAGGATCGTGTGCCTGTCCAGTGACTTACGGATCTCTTGAGTGAGCATACGAACGTGCAAGCTCGTCTCTTTCTGCTTCATTATGATCCCGACCTCGCGACCGAGCTCACGAGCCTTCTTCTTGAGCATGAACTCTCTCACTTTCACCTTGAGGAGCATAGGGATGAGAGTGATGAGGGTGATGGCCGTGGCGCAAGAAACAAGAGCCGTCAAGATCTTGAAGACGGTCAGAGCCAGCATGAGACGGAACGTGTGCGGACCATAGGTCCAGCCATGGAGGAGATGTGTCAGACCGCAGAGGACGATGAAGGCGATGAACTCGAACAAGACCCATTTGAACGGAACGTTGGAGCAGCTGACGAAGTAGAGCAACTCGATCGGGATCGAGAAGTAAGCGACGGCGATCAAGAAATCGCTCACTCTCTGAGTCTCGAGGATGTTTTCTATGCTCCAGAAACTCCCTTCGTCGTCGCAGTTGCACCGCTGAAAGCCGTTTCCGGCGACCGGAGAGACGAGAAGAAGCAGAGATGACGTCACCAAGAACAAGAACAGAACAGAAGAGGCTTGTCTTGACATCGTTTTCTTCTTCAATGGCCAACGAGGATGTTCTGTTCTGTTCCGTTCAATCCATTTGATGGTTACACTTGGTGGGACATGAAAGTCATCAGATTGTGTTCTTTATGAGTCGTGACCATGCTCTGTAAGTAGCAAACCATGGATGGAAGAAACAGACAAAACCCAACTCAAACTCTAATATAAAGATTCAATCCGAAACCCAACAATCAATTTTCATACTCGATTTTCAGAAACTCGACAAGAAAAGATTTCCGGAAATGGCAAATTCCAGTCAACTATCGGCCCCAACAATGAAGCCAAACGCACAAACACAGTCAGCAAAAAGCCTAATAAGATATTACTACAAAACAAAGGGAAACAATAATAATTAATTAATTAATTAATAAAAGGAAATGCATTTTTTGACGGGACGAACGCAGCAAGAACGAAATCAGCGTACCTGAAAACAAGATTTCTGATCGAACCCAGCTCCCAGATCTTGTTCGCCGGCGAGATTCGTCCGCCGAGAAGCACGAGCATCTTATCGTTCTCGCCGCATTATCCGATCCGACCGTACAACGGATCGAGGAAGAGAGAGAGAGAGGGGAAACAAAACAGCGGCGCGGACAAATCCAGGTGACCAAAACAAACAAAAGGACAGCGAGAGATCTGAATCTACGAAAAACCCAGTTTTCCGGCGGAAGGAAAAGAACCGAATTCGCCGGAAATTGAGGGAACCGCCGTAGCGCCGCCGAGGTAGCAGGGGGGAAGAGAGAGAGAGCGTATGTATAGGTGTAAGTAAAGGCCGGAGCCGTTGGTTTTGGAGGAAGGGTTTTCCAATGTGTCTTGCATTTTGTTATTAAGTAGAAGGATTGTGGGACCCACAGTTCTACATGAAGCGAACTTGGACACCCTTTTGCAATATCTATGAGGTGTTTTTTTTTTCTTAATTCATTTAATTATATATTTATTTAAGCTTGTTCTTAATTCTTCCACTTGTCCCGTTTAGTGTTTTCTATGAAATAAAAATTAAATCCCTCATGTAAGATACAAGCTGTAATTTAAAAAATAAAAATAATTAAATATTATCCAATCCGATTTAGCCTGGAATATAATAAATAAATGAATATATGTGGAATAAATCCAGAATATGAAACTAAGAAGAAATGCCAACATGACAGGAATCTAAGGAGGGATTACAAAGCCGTTCATTGAGTCAAATATCAAATTATTCTTATTTATTGCTTATTTAAAACGTAAGAATTTTGTATCTCCACTTTTTTTTTCTGAATTAAATTAGTTCAAATTTTAACGGGTTTTATAATAAATTAACATGCCACTAATATTAAAAAATATGGCACTAATTACAACATATAATGTAAATTAAAAAAATCGAAATTTTCCTAGCAACCCAAGTGAATAAACAAAATGGTAACAAAATCTAAGGGTGATTAATCACAGTGTTTGAAACTGACACAAGTACCCGGACCGAGATTAGATTAGTCTAATCAACTCATAATTAGTCAAACAATATACAATAATTATGTTTATGAAATTACATGGGACCTACAAAATTAGATATATATTTTTTTTAATGTTTGCCCACAAAATAAGATTATTAGCCCTTTATTCAGCGTTCATGAATCTGAAGACTCTAGAGGGATGGACTTTTTTTTTTGTCTTTCTCCAAAACCACACGCTCAAAACCAACAAAGACCCATATAAATAAACATAAATATAGAAATATTTAATTAAGTATCTAATTAAAATGGGATTTTAATGTATTATTTTGAAACCTAAATCCATTTGTTTAAGATATGGAGAGGTGTCTGAAAAATATTTCTAATAAATTCAAAAGTTTCCAAGAGAGAATGAATCCTACTAAGATAATCTATGTACAAAAAAAAATATTACAACTATTTCTTTAAATTTTAGGGTTTATAAAATTAATTATATATACTCTTTATAGATGTGAAGGAGAGTATGATTATCATATGATGGTTAGGTAATATAATTAAATATATAGGCCATCATATTTTAACAAAATATAGTATAATTACATTTAATACTAAAGTTTTGAAATTTTGATTTGTTTATATAATTACAAATATTTTTACTTACTCTAAATTTCATGTATTTTTTTCCTCAAATAGCTTTATATTTATGGATGGATTAATAATAGAAGCACGTTATTCAGAATTTTTTTTACCCAACATGTTAATCATAATTGAGTGTACACGCGCTTTTGGGCGCGTGGTATATATATATATATATATATTTGTATATTGAGTTTGGTGGTATCGTTAGATTCGTTGGGGCGCACGAGGCAGGGGATGGGAAACGGCAGCAAAGATCTAACCCTTATGTGCGTTCTAAATTAATTATTAATTTCCCTCTTAATTTTTTAAATATTAAACAATTGAATATATTCACGAAAAACGACGTATAAATAAATAAGCTCTATTTCTTTTTTTTTTTTACTATTTTATTTACTGTATATCAATAAACCATGTATATATGTTTATAATTTTTTTAAAATAAATTTTAAGATAAATAAACAATGGCCGTTATTGCTTTGGCCAATCACATCAAATTAGCTTTCATGGCAAACAAATAATACAATTAATTAAACATGTGTATTTGTTTTACCCAATCGGTAAAACCCGTGGGCTTCTTCTTCTTGATATATACATATACATACATATATATATATATGTATGATAATTGCTTCGTTGAAAAATCACGACATTTTCAAATATTGATATTTGAATGTATGGTTGGATTTTAAGTTATGATTTCTAAAGTTAATTTGAGAATTCAACATTCAACTACGTAAGTAATGATGCTTTTTAGATTTTTCAAGGCGTTTGAATTGACAGAGTTTGTATTATATTTATTTTAATTTATGTCATTTGTAATTTTTTGCATACCTTTTTCATCTTTTTTTTTTTGGGTATTGCGGTTTGATTTATGGGCCTAATGGAATACGAAGCCCAAATTAAATTCTAATACGGACTTGAGCCTATAACGGAGCCCAACTACACTTTTTAATACCCAAAGCTCATGTTAGGATCTTATCCACAGTAAATATGAAAATAAAATTCAATTTTCTATTGTTGATTATTATATTGCGTTTTAACATCATCCGAAATATTTTTATTCGCAGAAACTTTAAATTTTATCGTTAAAAAATAACTCATAATACCAAATATTATGCATCATATATTATGGCATCGGAGCTACAAAGTGAAATCCATGCAAACTTCAATATCAAGCACATTACACAATCCACGAAACATAGATCTTCCAATGTCGTACTAACGACGAAGGAACCTATAAAAACGTCTACGATGATATCTACCAAACCTATATATAATATATATGGACATATGTATATGCATCTATATCTATGCTTCATATATATATATATATATGATATTTGCTACGTATATATAACGACGTAATATATATATGGGTATCAATTAGAAAACTTAACGATTGTTATGACCAAGTCGAAGCTCAAGATCAAGATCGTTGGTTCCGCCGTTCGCCACTCCATCCTCCGGCGACCTCCGACCACCGTCGCCGAAGTGCATGGATCTAAGCCCTAAGCTCAAATCCACGCCAAGAAACTCCTCGTGAGAGATGACGTCGTTCTGGCCGTAGTAATGGCCAAATTGCCCCCTAGGGTTAGTGTTGAGGGGAACACGTTCCGCACGTGCGCGAAAAAGCCCTCCGTTGTTGTCGTCGTACGTGTAGACGCCGCCTTGGCATGACTCCACGATGGGGTAAAAGGACGGGGAAGAAGCGGAGAGATTAGGCTTTGAGAAATCGGTGGCCGGAGAATAAGTCGTGGAAGAAGAAGAAGACGAGGAGGAAGAAGAGAGGTAGCGTTTGGATTTGGAACGTTCCTTGCGGTGGATGTTCATGTGGCCGCCGAGGGCTTGTGCGTTTGTGAAGCCTCTCTTGCAGAAGGAACAGTCGTACATTCGTCTCGTACTGGTCGGAATCTCGCCGGAGGAATTGTCTTCATGCTCCATTGCGTATATATAGTATAGGTGGTGTGTGTGAGTGTGTTAAAATGTGCTTGAGTGGTGGAGGGTACGAATGCTCTTGGATACATATTTATATATATAGACACACACACACATTATATATATATATATATGCATGTGTATGTATCGGAATGTGGAAATGCGTGTGTGTGAAAAGGCACTACTTGGGTTTTTGTATTGAATTACTACAGAATTGAGAGTTATATGTATAATGATGCATGTATAGGCTATACGAAGAATAATAATTATGTTACAAAAAAAAAAAGAAGTTGAATTGATATATTTTGCAACAGGCAAATGGAATTGTTTTGGCGCTTAACGGCCGACACAAAGAATTATATATGCAAGCGACTATGTATGTATATACACACACACACATATATATATATATATATATTTGTTATGTCTAATTCGTGTAATTAATCTCTTTTATTGACATATAATAGCTCCACATACAAAAAAAATAAAAAGGAGTAAGCGAATAAAGATATGAGATTTTGATACCCTTAAAGGAAATTTGTGTACTTTTTTGTTATTTATATATCAATTATTGCATTATCCTTCAACTCAATTTGATAGAAATCATCGATAGGAAAGCGGATCTTAATTACGTGTGAAATGTTTCTTCTTAGGGAAAAACAAAGTATTAAATCACTTAGTAATATAGCTTATAGGTCCAAGAGCTTAGGATATCTATCTAGGGATTAGTCAACGAAAAGAAACTTGATTTACTTCTATAAAAAGCAAAAGCTTTCATTCTATATGCCACACCAAAAAATAATAATAATATATAGGTTATAATTGATCAAAATGTTATATATAGTATACCAATTTCAGTCGGCCATAATCAAATCCCATTGGGGGCAAATCTTATTAAAAAAAAAATTCAGTCGGCCATATGCATATATAATATGTATATAAAATAATTTATTCATCAAAAGATTGAAAATCATTATAAAAATAAATTCCCGTGTACATTACACATATTTGGGTAGAATTGATCTTTGAATGAATCTGGGTGCCTCATAGCAGCCTATGAAATGGATAGTCTATGTAAAGAGAATCATAGTGTATAAACTTTATATTTTTGAATGTGAACATGCAAAGGTTCATTGGAAGCATTTATTAAGAGATGGCGATGATTTGCTTGAAGTGGTTCATAATAATTAAATTACAATGCAGCTATAATCATTTAAAACCAAAGCCTTGATTTTGTATATGTGTATGTATATAGGTTTATGTGTGAGAGTGTATATATATATATATATATATACGTCCTTTAAATAAAAGTTGATTTCGACGGTTTCTTTGGTTAGGAAAATATCGCATTAGGGTTTCGTCAATTTAGGATTCCTAAAAAAGCTCGTTAATTTCAAGAACCGACAAAATGACTCCAACTTACATATTCACTTCATTGCCTTATGTTTTTTTTTTTTGTGGGGGCTGAATTTATTTCTTATTTTTATTTGTATTTTTCCAAAATGGAACGTATATATACTTGTCTCATATAATAGATTTTTGCTAACCTGTATTCAACTCAAACGTTATAATAATGTTGTGCCACACACCTTAATGGAACTAACCACGGTCGAATAAAATTCACATTATATTAAAATGTATATAAGTGATAATTCAATGGTAATTAAGTCCTTTTAAATAATATTTTTTCTAGATACAAATGGACAAAACCTTGCTTTTGGACCACCTCTGATTGTGTCCTAGGCCATTAAAGTCACGAAGATTAATTAATTAATGGTTTAGTTTTATTATAGGAGACAAAACTAACAAAAATTTAAATTAAAATATAGTTAAATATTTATTTGTTATCACCCATATTGTAATACAGTAATTTTTTTTTTTCACTTGAGTACGTGTTATATATAAAAAAGAATTTTGATCATGCATTTCTGCAATATTTTTTTTTTTATATTTTTTGTGAAAATAAAATTTGTAATTGGAAAGACTATACAATGATATAAATTATCTGAAAGAAGTCACATGCAGAAATTCTATAATGAGGTCAGTGGCTTTAATGCCTCTTTCCCAATTTTACCGATTTAGAAAACGTCTATTTTTGCATGCGTTCACACTTATATATTTGGGTTATTATACACCCGCTTATACATGAATACGTATAGGCTTATATACGTATGTGTATATATTTTTATTTTTATTTTTCTTCTTTTGTTTGGAAGGCCCATTTATGATTCGGGCCTAAATAGAAGAGCCTAATAATATTACAAAATATGATAGTTTTTGGCCCAAACTGGTTCTCTTTTTCCAATCTCAAGCTGATTGCGTATCAAACTATACATACATATATACACACACATAGGATACATATATATATATATTAATTCCACCTTTTTTAAGCCTTAGTTTTATAAAACCATAGGATCTTAAACTATACAAATAGTTCACAGACAAAAAAAAGAAGAACTATGCCAATATAGATAAAATAATATTTATACAAAACAAGCAACACGTCTATAAGAGAGAGTATATATTATAACATCAACATATATAGAGGACGCTTAAATACTAAACATTATGCTAAATATAAGCGACAGACTCTTATTATGCCATCTATATATACGTTCTCTATATTATGCCAATGACACGACCAAATGTGAAGAGTTAATATTAGGGATATTGTTGTAAATATTATATTTTGTGTATTAGGTCTAATATATCTTTCTTTTTTTGGATAATCAGGATGGTTCTCCGGATCTTCGACCCGACTACATCCACCCTAGATCCGAGACCAGCCTTTGTATATGGACCAATTTGATCCAGAAATTACATCCCTTCCCACAAGTGGAATCGAACCCATGACTTCGAGGATGATTTTGTCACCTCTCAATCATTGGGCCAGCAACTGTTGGGTAGGTCTAATATATCGTTGCCTATATATTTACATTTACATATTGTTATATATATATATATATATATATATCTTTTCAATATTTTACATATTTATATATATCTTTTCAATATTTTACATATTTAACTGCCCTCGAACATGTTTTACAATTCCACCCAAGTGTCGAAATTATTACCATTCAAGCACATCTAACTATATATTATGATGTGTGTGTGTATATAATTAATTATTCATTGTTACAACAGAAAGCAATATGCAAAGGTGATTTATTCGCAAGAGATAGTGCTTGAGCACATAGATTGCGATGTTCGACGACCCGTCACTTTGATCAATTTGTTGCTTTCTATCAAATAATTATTATGTGCCCATCTCTCTCTCTCTCTCTCTCTCTCTCTCTCTCTCTCTCAGCTTTCACAGAAATGACCACAGAAGAAGAGCTTCTCGTATTCCAATTTGTCTTTACTTTTTTCCATCTACTTTCGTTTTCCATACCACAATTTACGTACTGACCTCATCAAAATCCATGCCTCTCTTTGCAACCCTAGGCCCTCTTTTTCTTTTGCCTTTATACCGTTTGATACTTAAATAATGTTACTCTTTTGTTACTTTTTATATCAAATCATTATGCACGAATACGAATCATGTGTGTATATATATATATATATATGTGTGTGTGTGTGTGTGAGAGAGAGAGAGAGAGAGATTTACATGTGAAGTCACTTTGTTCACAAACGAACCAGAGATGAGAAATGAAGTATAAACTGCAAGTCATTTACAAGAGACAAAGACAAGTTCGAGGCATGAGCTTAACATACAATATATACATACAATCAGGAAACGCATTTTATATAGACATGCAATTAAGAAACATATTTTATACACAGCATATATAGAAACAAGTGTGAATGGTTCGATATAATATACTCATAAGAAAAACGAGTATATATATATATATACATATAATATGCATGTATTTAATGTGCTTATGTAAAATTGAATTAAATAAGGGAAGTGTAGAGGCCAGACAGTGGTATTTTGAGAAAGGATTTGGGGGCTTCTCTTATAGTTTCTCTGCAACGCTTCGAACGGACCAAGACATTACTTTCTATTTATGGAAAGGCCATTATGCCATATCCCACACACAGCATTGTCGGGAACATGAAAACCCTCAGATTTTGGGAAATAGCATTTGAATTATAACGTATATTCTCCGAAATCCAACCATGTATATATATATATATATATATATATATGAATTCTGTGCTGGTATATTGATCAATTATTAAAAGACATACAGGGACAACGTACTAAAGGACAAGTTGGTATGATTTAGGTTTTCATGTAAGGTTTCAATTTGACTTTTTTCTTGAAGATAGATTCAAGTTGGATATTTTTTTTTTGCGGAATATATATATATATATATATATATATATATATATATATTCTTCTCATTGGTCTGAAAATAGAGTAATTATGACATGTTTACAGTTTTTGCACTCATGAAACTGAAAATATGCGTCGGGACTTGTTTCCGATAATGATTTGCCACCATCACTGTAATGATTCGAGAAACATGTAATCCACAAGTTTGGATACACGTAAATATAAATTCGTACGGTTTTTCTAACCAATGGAAATAAAAATTTAAATAAACGTAAACTATCAGAGTAAAGATTTCCCAAAAGTGCTATGAAAGTCGAGTGAACTCCGCTCGTTGTCGTTCGGAGTTTGACGAAAATGAAAAAAAGTACTCTTTGAACATTTTCCCCATATCATATAGGTTTCGATGCATCAGTATATATGTGTACGTATATATGTGTGTGTATATAAACTGATACACACGTATACAATGATCGATCCATAGGAATCATTATGAGTAAAAATCAGTAAAAAGAAGACATAATTAGAGCGGTTTCATAACTTTTTCCTCGTAATTTATGCCTGAAAATATAGTAATCATAATTTTTTTTAAAACAAAAAAAAAGTAAAGTTATCTCTTGACTTCCTTATGGGTTTAGAATGTACTATGATTCTTGTTAATCCCTTACAATTAGCATTTATTTCATATTTTTGCATAGATTTTATGAATTTAATTGTTTTTACTTTTGGTTTTAAACTGTGCGTGAACTGTTCTTAATATAATTAAAAACTCCAAAAATGGGATTTATCCGGACCATTACAGCCGAAAAATTTCATACTCAAAGTTTCCATATCCTTTTTCATGGACATATTCACATATCACTTAAAGAAAAATTCCATCAACAAAAGGCACACGAACCAATAGAGAGAAATGTGAGATGAAATATAATAGTTAATAGTACCAAAAAACATACATTTTAAGATATAAAAACCATGCATAGGTTTAAGCTAACAACATAATAGCTTAATCGCTCGTAAATGATGATGCTATTAATTAAAGCATTAAGTCTAAAACCAATTAAAATGAGCAAAAGCACATTGATTAACCCCCTTACGATCTGATTTCATGGATCCATTATATGCATCTCTACGTACGGCTTGGCTATCTATGCGATGCCCAAGCGGAGCTCAAGATCTATATCTTGTTCTGATTCGTGGATCAGACCGATCTCAAGCTCCAAACTGATGATCCCGTCCTCCTTCAAGAACCTGAAAGAATCATTCTTGGTCAACCTTTTGACTTCTTCAACAGCAGGAGAAGGTTCCACGGATTTAGGGGCCTTTTCGGTTGAATGTTTTGGCTTGGGGGCCAAGGAATAGGACAAACAAGACCGAGAAACGGGTGAGAAAGAAGAAGAAAGGGTAGGGAATAAGGTTAGAGGAGGAGGAGGAGAAGAAGCCATGGAAGAGGGAGAGAAATTAGGGTTAGGGTTAGGTTTAGGGCTTTGGAGGGAGCTTGGAGGAGGAGGAGGAGATGGTGTCGATGACGACGATGATGACTGTAATCTAAGTCTTGCTCTGTCTCTCCTGTGAACATTCATGTGCCCGCCGAGTGCTTGAGCGGATCTGAATTCCCTTTTGCAGAAGCTGCAAGTGTAAGATCTTGGAGGCCATGAAAACCCTAGAAGATAATCATCATGGTGATGATGATCTTGGCGGTGATGATCATGATGACGATGGTGATGATGATGATGATGATGATCTCCAAGGCACCACGGTGAGTCTTTAATGGCTTTTACACGGCCATAGATGCTTTGTTCTTTGAAACCGTTCGTCAAATCTACGTCGTTTCTCTCCATAGTGGGGATCGATCTCTCTTCTCTTTCTATTTTTTCTCTTTGCTTTTCGGCTTTTGTTGTTCACAAAAGCGTTTGTGAAGCTATATGAAGAGTACTGATTCTTGGCACATCAGTTTATAAGAGAGAAGTAAGACCTGAAAAAGATTAAGTCTTTTTTTCCCCCTCCTGAAAAAAGATCTAAGATTTGTGCTTGTGTCTCTTTTTCAGAGAGAGAGAGAGAGAGAGGAGAGAGAGAGAGAGATGCTTTGATGATAGGGTTGGGGCTCTTGGTGTTGTTAAGGCTGAAAAAGACTGATTCTTGGACGTATTCATAGCCCATATCAGATGTAATTGTCTAGCAAGTAAACAATAAATTGATAACTTATTCGGCCATAGATAAGCATCGTTGCCTCACAATTTGATATTTATGGACACCAAGAAAGATAATTATATCATTAAGACGTTACTTCCATTTCTAAAAAGCTCAAAAATTCTTATATATGCTTTTTTTTCCCTTCTGTACATCAATCCACCACATATATATATATATATATATATGTGTGTGTGTGTGTGTGTGTGTGTGACTTATATATAGATAAACTGCAATTTAGCAAGAAACATTTATGCATATATGTATTAATTTGCAAATTTTCATAAACAGATTGGAAAAGAAGAATTTCTTTAGCATTTTATTGAAAACCCTTTAGGATCTTTCAAAAGCACAACACCTCACATATGAATCAAACAAAGAATAGATATATATATATACACCCGCCTTATGAATCAAAATATATTTATGAGATGAAACGTATTCCGAATCACTAGATAATTAGAAAATTTATATTTGTTTTTATAATGAAAAGAGAGATTTTTTTAAAAAAAATATGAAGGGACTTGAGGTGGTGGAAAATAAAGAGAAGTAGCCATCAAAGCAAATGTCACACATGGTGTGGTGGTAAGCTATAGTTGGCCAAAAGGAAAAACCTCGGCCGAGCAAAACGACACATCACACCCATTGCTTTTTCCCATTTCCGGAATTCAAATCGTCTCTATTTAATTTAGTGGACGTTCCTTTCTCTTCTTTGAAAACCATAATAAACACACACATATATATATATATATATATATACATATTATAATAACTATTTATAATTAATATGTCAATTGTTATTATTATTATTATTATTTTGCTTTTCCTCTCGTGACACTTCCATGAGCAAAATCTAAGACAAGACCATTAGTATGGGCACTTCGTGACTCTAATACATCATCCAACGTTTGTCCTTTTCTTTGTGTTTTATTTATGCTTATTAACTCCATATGCTATAGACCCTATATTCATGTAGGGTTTCAATGCTTTTTCCTCAGATGAAAATGTATGTCGTATTTGACAATGGGTTATTTACGTACCACTTTAGTTTCTTTATAAAACGTATTCACAATAGTTACATATCTATTTTTTTTATATATATTGCTCATCTCAATCCGGTTCGAATCCAACATGATTTAGGCTTTGAATGGTAATAACTTTTTTTTTTGAGTTTTTTGTTTTAGTTTTTAGTTTTTGGTTTTTGGTTTTTAGTTTTGGTAAATCCAAAAAATGGAATTTTTAATTGATTTTTTTTAATCAAAATGGTTTTTCAAGTTTTTAGGAAAACCAAATTTATAAAAACTTGAATGATTAATTTTTTGATTATTGAGATCTAAAAATTCCAACAATTCATAACCTTATTATGGCTTTTGGAGTTCTTAAGAAGGACATCTCTAGAAAAAAATTATAAGTCTTGGTTATATACAAGTAATACAATCAAATATTATATTCTTAGAACCTAGGATATCACAATTGCTTTCACATTTAAATGTTACTACCAAAGTTAATATGGTTAGAACTTAGAATATATATATAAAAAAGATTCTCTCATTGTTGGTCTTATTTATTTATTGAGACAAATTTCTATTCAGAAACCATAAATTAGCAACGAGAGATAGACTCTTAGAGGATCAAATTAAACTATAAGCACTACAATAGTTATACGAATTGTACGGACAAGAGTACCCCCCAAGAGGATAGCCTCATTTATTACAGATCCAACTGCTTCATGTTTTGTCCGAACAGACTCACTCTACTCATGTTTATGAATGTGAAGGTCCAAATCAATCCAACAGTGAGTTGTAGATTTGTTAATGGTATGAATTTTAAAATACTGATCATCGCCTAATTTATCATAAATCACATTCCTTGGTCCGTCCACTAGTAAATTTAATTTTAGACTAAGTAATCCAGCCGTTGGTTATTATATTTATCCATAATTTACAATTCCATCAATATAATCATACTAGAAATTTGTTAAAGTTGATTAGAGGAGAAACGAAAATAAATTACATAGGGAAGCAAAATCGTTGCCCTAGAGAGGTACTTATCGTGATTAGTTATTGGACAGAGAAAGAGTATCCACTAGTGAGAATATATATATATATATATATAAAGTATTGCGGAATTAACCATTGGACATTCTGAGGCCCTCTGCCTCAAAAAACTATTCTCTAATTATGTTCGATTTATTAACAAATGACGAAAAAAATTGATACAATTTTTATTTCGATATGGGTATTTTCGGTTTTCTTCATCCCGGGATAGTACGTGGCGAGTTGGTTCGTCCGACCGTTTTTTTAACTCAAAATTTTTCACCCAATTCAGAAAAATATGGATTGGTTTGAGCCGACTCGCGAGCCAAACCCATTTCACATCCTATCCAAAACCCAAATAATTATCCAAGTTCTTCTGTGGAAATGGTATAAGTCAACATTTGAAATTTTTATTGTCTTAAAAAAAGATAAAGATTTCAGAATAAAATAATTTTCTATGGAGACAAAGATAATCTACAGCCAAAGTTTGCAAGGTCAATTCAGTTGTCTGTGAATACTAAATTCCCAAGTTGAAACGATCCATATAGCCATTACTAATTAAACAAAAAATCATCCTTAATATACAAAAAGAAAATTGATGAAAATAGTCCACAAAATTGGCTTTCAAAAAATTCGATTGAATATTTTTTTTATAAAAAAAATTAATCGATTGCATCCTGTTTTTTTTTCCCCATCTTTATCGCATCTCACCTTATGATATTGTTAAATATCATGTGATCCCAAGATTTGTTTTTTCCGTTTTCTTTGATATTTCCCAAACTCTCAAATGTCACATATGCATGTGTAAGTGAGTGTGTGTATATATATATATATATATTTATATGTATATATAAACGATAGTTGTCTATGTATGAAGACTTTTGTAGATCCTAGGCTGGTTTCCTTTCATTTATTGGCAACTTTAGCTAGGTCTTTCTTTTCAAATGAAATTTCCTTGTTTTTTTTTAAATATAAAAAAGAAAAATCATCTCTTCAGAATGAAGTGAAAAAGAGGGGAAGGTTTTGGATGTTCTTCATTTCTCTTTGGAAATTTTCATTATTTTCTACAGGTGGTCCGCAGAGCCGTAGGGGTGCATCTGGAGCAATTATACAGGATCCCACTTTTAAAAAGGCCCCATAATATATATATATATATATATATATAAAATAAAATAATATCACAAAAGAGAGGAAGAGTGAGGTAAAAGTGGAGAGTGAAAATTTGCTAAATATGAATAAAGGGCCTTGATTTACTCGTAGCTTCTCCGGTCGATGCTGCAGTGTTTACTCGCAGTAGTTTCTATTTATTATTATTATTATTATTATTATTATTATTATTATATTACATTTGCATTGACGTCTCTTCATTTCATTTCCTTGGTTTTTTTTTATAGTGTTACAACATTACTCTCTATTCTCTTATTCATCTTTATTTTTTTTAAAAATAATTGTTTTATTGTTTTTTTTAAGTGGTGGGGTTTGATAATAGCACTTGTCTTTATATATATATATATATATATATATATATGTATGTGTGTGTGTGTGGTTATTAGAGACATTAGAAGCAGAGTCTTTCACTTATGTTTTCACGTTAAAGCTTGTGATTGGCTGCCTCCGACCGTTGTTCCCAAAATCAATGAAAACTCTACTACTTTATGTATTTACATGTATGTGTCGTTATATGTAGATATTTTTGTAGCATAACATCACACTGCTACACACACACACACACATATATATATATATATTACGATACAACAATATTTGTTATTAACTGACCGGGTAGAATGGATAGAATAGAAATTGGAAATGTGAGATTTTTCAAATAATTTCTTCTGAAAATTTAAATTTTTAGAAATCATAATGTATAACACTTACCCGTAAAATTCTTATAAAACCCATACAGTTTTAAATCTAAATAGATACAGAAAATAAAATATAAGCTAAAAAAAGGAAAAAAAAATATTTAAGGATACATAAAATTAAATTAAATTGCCAAAAGATCCAAACCATGCAAGACTGAATTTTCAAACCCAAATAACACATAATGCACAATCCATGACCCATCTAAACGGAATTATTAGAATAGGCCCAATTTACTGGGCCCACCCAATCCTAAATTATTAGAATAGGCCCAATTTAGTGGGCCCAACCCAAAATTGACATCCTACTTTATGAGTGTCCGAGATTTGTCAAAGTGGGAGGCACATAAATATTTTGATATAATGAAATAATTATAATTAGTATGTCAAATTGTTATTTATTCACAGAAAATTGTAAATTACCATTTTCATATATCAGACAGAAACAAAAAAAAAAACTAAGAGAAATGTAATGTAATGCAAATGGAAGAATTGCACAAATGAAGTTAGAAGAGTGCAAATATACTTGAACTAAACCAAACAACACATAATTGTAAAGGAATCAAATTAGATATAGAATTGAATGGTTGTGATTTTTTTTAAAAAATCGAACCCGAATATGATCGAATAAAAATAATAAAAAACCGTTTTTATAAATATTTTTTTTTATCATAATCAAACCGATGAAAGCGATGAATTGAACCGAATTCAATATAAAAACCGAATGATTATAATTTTTTTAAAACCAAAAATTGAACCCCGAATATAATATATAACCAAATAAACCATCATTAATTATTATGTACATGATGGGATAATCCTTATCTACTGAAAATATATCTCCTTGAACAAAAAAATATCACTGAAAACAAGGTCGGGAAATAGATATGAGTGTTCATGTATCTCATGCTGAATGATCGTACTTTTACATAAAAAAAATTACCAGACATGATCGAGGAGTTAAAAGCACAAAAGAACAACAAAAGTACAAAAAGCCTTTTTTTTTTAATCCACAAGTCAAAAGAGATAAAACTCCCCCAAGATCTGAATGTACGGAAGCAAACTAGAAGACATATATCAAACTCTCTGACACAAACCCAGGATCTACGAAATCCTTACTGAAACATCACCAGATTCTAACAGTATATGCAAAACAATTAACACCCTTTTATTAAAAAAAAAACACACTGAAATCTGTAGATCCAAAATCTCTGGAACTGGAACCATCTGATCAGATTCTAGCGAGAAATATTTTGTGAAGAAGCACTTCAGTTTGCACAGAGAATCACAGTGGGGGGGAGAGAGAGAGAGAGAGAGAGAGAGAGAGAGAGAGAGAGAGAGAGATGTGCTTCTCTGAACACCACAGTGATTTCTCTGTGCAAACAAAAGAGCTTGATCAGCAAAAAAAATAAAAAATACAGACACAGTAAAAAAAAAAACTCCAATTTTTGTCGTGGAAGATGATGGTGGAGAAGAAGGGGTTATTTATAAAGAGAAGGAAAAAAAACTAGGGTTTCTGAGAGCTGATGAGCATATGTTATGATGCAGCCGCCGAATTTAGTCGGTAACGTCATGTGATTTTAGATGTGGATCTAACGGCCATGGATTTTTGTTATAAATATATATTAAAATAAAATCCTTATTTTTTAAAAAATTCTTAGAATTCAACTTGGGCTGCAAGAAAGAATTCACCTTGGGCTGCAAGAAATGATAATATTTTTAATTTATGGAAAATGTTGTTCTGCTTTTTGAGGGGTGAAAATGTTATCACTTTCTATATGTTGTATTAAATCTATTTAAGCAAAAAATATTTCTGGCAGTAAGGGACATATATTTGAAATGAATACTATAGAAAAAAAAATAAAAATAAAGGAATGAATAGGTTAGAAGTGAGGAAAAAAAAAGGTAATGAATAATATATACATTTAATTAGGTATAGATAGTTGAATTTATGTTGTGTGTGTGTATATATATATATATATATCATTTTGCTAAAACGGTATATATTCTCATTGTCATATTAAAAACCTTAGTTTTAATATATTATTATTTTTTCTCATTTTCATATTTTAGTGTTGAATCATATAAAAAAACCACATGAGCATACATGTCACGGTGGGGTGGTCGGACGACCCATGTTCTCGGAGGTAATGTCGGAAGCTGCCACGGCAAGAACTCCGGCGGTTGGCTCCGGCCATTTTCCGGCGACTTCTTTAGCAAGAAAAGGACAATAATAGTTCAACCAACTACTAATGCGTTGTTAGTCAAGTATAGTAGGAGCCTAATTAATATATAGTAATAAGATGAAAAATGGTACTAATTTTGTATAATTTGTCAACTAAAATGCAATATTTTCAACTAATGTTACTTTAATTAAAAAAAGGTGTCTTTGGGTCTAACATTAAAGAGGGTCGGTTCAAATTTAACGTTTTTCCAATTCATTAATCAATTTGAATACGCAATTTGCAATTAAGTGCTTTAGTTCTGTCTCTAAGTGTCGTAATATATATAATTAATAAATTAGTCATAATATCGTTATATATATTGCCCTTTTTGTGGCGTATAAGAACTCAACTCTTTATGTAAGACGAGTCATACAACAAATTTTATCAACTTACTCCAAGTATCCGCAACAAGAATAAATCAAGAATGAGGATAAAATAAATAAATAATCATCGAAATATTCGTATGAAAGAAATTACATGAATCTATAGAATATAATTGGTTACAATATCATCTTCTTGTGTACAAAAATTCTGATTTAGAATTTGGGGAATGGAAAAAGAAATTAAAAAAAAAACAAAGAAAAATAAAAGAATGAAGAAATAGAAAAGAACCCTTCGATGTTCTTCTCTTTTTCTCGAATAATAAAATATACACATACATGGCAAAAAACTTGCATTAATTCCATAAATTATGTTATTTTGGATTTGGAACCTTTGAAGCCATCTTCAGAATCCCCAGACGTGACGACGAATCGGGTCATAACACGTGGATAAGCATGGCGGGAAGAGACAAAGCCGCGGCCGGCGAAGTGGCGTTCGCCGAAAGGGCACGGCGGTCCGCCGCCTCCGGGGATGTGGGTGCAGCCGGAGGGGTCGGAAGGGGTGACACCACCTTTTTGTAGGGACTGCAAATGGCCAAGAAGAAGAGGCTCATCACGCAAAACCCTAGAGGCCCCGTTTGGATGGACGGATAAGCAAACCAAGAGAAGGATAATCAAGAAGCTCGATCCAAGCAATGTCTTCATGTTAATGGCTACCATATGGAAGAACAGAAGGAGGAATAATATATGATGTGGTGGTGGTGGGCTTGATCGGCGTATATATATATAGTGGAAGAAGGTTTGAAAAATAGTGGGTTTTGATTATATTTTATTTTTAAAATTCGTTGAAAGATTTTGACCGTTGACTTGCATTATATGAAGGATACATACGTATATGCTATGTGTATAAATTAATTAGGAAATTTTGAAAAAAGAGGTTCGAGTCAATCTTGTAACGTGAGAATTGGATCGAGCATAGAAGAATCGTGTCCCATGCAACTTTTACCGTATAACCTAAGATGAAAAAAAAGTTATGGATAAGATTGTAAGGGCAAAAGAATAATTTTATAATGTTTTCACCCAATAAAAATTAACAAAAAATTAAATTAAGATTTATATATATATATGTATGTATTTGTGGTGTTTTTTTGGTCAATTTCCATGAATGGAATCTTTGTTCCATTTTTTTTTCATTGGGAACCTTCTCGGAAGTGTAGTTTTACTTCAAAGTTCAAACCCTTGAAATTTCAATGTTATATTTGAAAAATGCCACAAGAAAAAAGAGACATTTGAACACATTGTTTTGAGTCATTCAATGAAAATATATATATTTGGTAATACATAAAATTTCATTCAATTCAAGCATATATTATACCAATATATAAAATGAAGCTTTTCTTTTTAGATTATAAAAAAATATTTTATTTGGTAGTGAGTATTTTTTTTATAATGGGTTGAGGCGCATTATCTATATCCAATTAGATGGGAATATATATATATATATATATGTGTGTGTGTGTGCGTTTCTTATTTTTACATAGTAATTTCCAAGTGTAAAAAAGCACAGATAAATTCCAATATGATTTGGCAATATTTTATGAAATTGACACGTGTAATCACACGTGCGACTTTTCTAAAAACTAAAAGCGCCTATCGAAAAATTTCGAAATTCATTTGGGATGTTCTTCACTCTCTCTCAGCTTCTCTTCGACGCTTCGCAGAGATTTTTCTCCGAACAGTGAAAATGAATCCGCCATTGCTGAAGCTCGTGTTCCTACAGGGTCCAAGGGAAGGCGAAACCCTAGAGTACAAGCCCGGATCCACTGTTCGGATCGGTCGAATCGCTCGCGGCAATGATCTCGCCATCAAGGATGCCGGTATCTCTTCCAAGCACCTCCGGATCGAGTGGGAATCTGAGAAATGGATGGTCCAGGATCTGGGATCCTCGAATGGGACCGCATTGAACACGACGCCTCTCCCTGCAGACACGCCGTTCGATCTCCGCCATGGTGACACCATCAAGCTCGGTGAGTACACATCCATTGTGGTGAACTTTGAAATTGATGCTCAGGAAAACGACATGGTCCAGGAGCATAAGCTTCCGCCGAAGCCCCGGAGGAACAACAGGCGACAAGCCGTTGCGGAGTCGGATCCTGTGGGGTCGATTCAGAAGAACTCGACCCGGAAGGGTAGATCTGCGAAGCAAACGAATGAGACCAGCAAAGAGAACGACGGAGAACAGGAATTACCGAGGAGAGGTAGGGTTTCGAGAAGTAAGATAGCGGAGGATGTCGCCGAGGAAGTGAAGTTTTTCGAGGAGAGAGATGAGAAGAAGGTGAATTCTAGGGTTACGAGGACTAAGAAGAACAAGGGTCTGGAAAATTCATGTTCTGATGGAGAGAAAGTAGCAATTGCTGATGCGGTAAAAGAAGAGGATGTTGGGGAAGAGATGCAGGGGAAAAAGGGTAACTCAAGGGTTCGGAGAAGTAGGAACATTGATAATACCCAAAGTTCTTGTTTGGATTTAGGCAAATTGGAAACGGAGAATATCGCGAAGGGAGTAGAGAATTTGGAGGTAAAAGACGAGAAAAGAGTGAACCGTAGGGGTATGAGGAGCAAGAAGATTGAAAATGCACAAAATTCATGTTCGGGATTGGGGAATGTTGAGAATGCTGATATTGCATCCGAAACTACATTCGAGGTTTCAGAGAAGCAAGATGGGAATAGGGTGAATTCAAGGGTTACCAGAAGCAAGAAGAACGAAATTCCCGGAGATTCATACTTGGTGTTGGAGATGGTTGAGAGCCAAGCCAGAATAAAACGTGCAGGCAAGAAGAAAAAGGAAGAGAAGCTACTGGAGAGCGTTGAGTCAAAGCCTATGAAAGACGATAAGGTCACTGATGCAGGGAAAGA